CAGATTTTAGGATTCTGCTTTGGGTTTTTTTAAACGAAGCTTGATGTCGGACTTCTCCTTGGCTTGCAACGTCCAGAACAGTAAAACAACAGAAGCAGTTGATGCAAGAATAACCCTGCCCCATTAAAATACACCTCAGATGCTATTGAAATAGCAAACCGCTTGAATAACCAGTCCTTTAAGTTAAGGCAGGAAGGCAAAAGTTGTGTATACAAAGCCGACCTATTATTTAGTCAACAAAGAGAGAACAATAAGTGAAATTGTCTAGAAACAAGACAAGGATATTGCAGGAATAATTCTAAAGCATCAATCTTTCCATGTATATATGTACTGTATATGTATAAAGCCAAATAGTTTCTTTTTAATTGTGTCTGATCTTGGAAGAATTTATCCGCAGAGGCTTCACTGTTTCCAGTTTTCAGTCTTTGGGACTCCTTTTTCCAATTACTTCAACAAGCAGAAATAAAAGTAATCTCCTGATCTATTTTCTGTAAGGTGGAACAGGGATAGTTCGGTGGTTCAGGCCTCTGGCTGCAGGGCCAGAGGTTGGGAGTTTGATTCCCCGCTGGGCCTCTATGCGGTTTAGCCCACAGCGCCAGCATGCCCCTTTTAAAACCTTAAATTGCATCAAATATTTATTTAAAGTTTCTCATGAAGGGCCTTCAAATTAATATTTTGTTCTACATTTCCTTTCTTCCTTTCTTCACTGCGAAATATCGTAACATTTCTTCACGGCTTCACAGAGGAAGACGTTGTGGCTCCTTCGGGGTCCGCAGATGATGGGTTAAGAACCTAGGGGGTGAACTATTTATATGCCATCAAGCCAGAACTAGCTTATAGAGACCCTAATAGAATTTTAAAGTAACTGAGAGATTTCAAGAGTGGTTTTACCAGATTCACTCCCCCAGTATGTTTTCACGGCCAAGTGGGGGATTCGAACACAAGCCCTATTCTACCACCATACTGGAATCCCTATTCTAAACCAGTTGAGGGGAGCTTGCAATACCAAGAAATCACCGTGAGATGTCAGACGTCTCTCAAAATACGGCAGGGCTCAGATCGCTGGAAATTCCAGGCTATTAGCCTCCTAGTGGTGATGATGATGATGATGATAAAACCCAGCAATCTGTCCCAGGGGCGAGATTTCACAAATGTTTTTTTCTACTGCCCTCACCACTAACGAATTAATTAAAAACAAAACAGAGAAGGAATCCAGCATTCTAAATCCCGGGGTGTGTGCCTTCAAACCACT